CCCAGGCAGGCGCCCACGATCTTTTTTTTTTAAACAGCTCTTCGTTTCAGTGATCTTTTTAATTATTTTTCTTGTCTCTATTTTTTTATTATGTTATGTTAATCACCATACATCACATCGTTAGTTTTTGATGTAGTGTTCCATGATTCATTGTTTGCTATAACACCCAGTGCTCCACGCAGAACGTGCCCTCTTTAATACCCATCACCAGGCTAACCCATCCCCCCACCCCTCTCCCCTCTAGAACCCTCAGTTTGTTTTTCAGAGTCCATCGTCTCTCATGGTTCATCTCCCCCTCCAATTTCCCCCCCTTCATTCTTCCCCTCCTTTTTTTTTTTTCTTAACATATCTTGCATCATTTGTTTCAGACGTACAGATCCGTGATTCAACAGTCTTGCACAATTCACAGCACTCACCATAGCACATACCCTCCCCAATGTCTGTCACTCAGCCACCCCATCTCTCCCACCCCCACCACTCCAGCAATCCTCAGTTTGTTTCCTGAGATTAAGAATTCCTCATATCAGTGAGGTCATACGATACATGTCTTTCTCTGATTGACTTACTTCACTCAGCATAACACCCTCCAGTTCCATCCACGTCATTGCAAATGGCAAGATCTCATTCCCTTTGATGGCTGCATAGTATTCCTGTGTGTGTGTGTATTTATTTCTGCTTTGGTCTTTTTATTTTCTTCCTTTTACTAAATTTGGGCTTAGTTCAAGTGAGGTTGTTTATATATGTTCTTTCTTGTGTCTTAATGTAGGCATTTATAAATAAATGGTTTTCTATACTGGTATCCTTTGATTCCCTTCTCGAGAAATCTTATGTGTATCTGTTGTAGATTTTTGTTTTTATTAACTTCCCTCTTAGAACTACTTTTGCAGCATCCCATAGTTATTGATATGTTGTGCTTCCATTTTCATTTGTTTCAAGATACTTCCTGATTTTTCTTTTCATTTCTTCTTTAGCCTATATATTCAGGAGCATGTTTTTTAGTCTCCATATATTTATTTTTCTGGCTTTTCTCCTGTTATTAATTTCTGGTTTCATACCACTATAGTGTGAGTATAGTATTCATACCACTATAGTATGAATACTTGGTATTTTTTTCAATTTTTAAATTTACTAAGACTTTTTTTTTTTTATGACCTACATGTGATGTATTCTGGAGAATGTTCTGTGTGCACCGAGAACAATGTGTATTCTGCTGCTGTTGGTTGGCATGTTTGTATGTCTGTTAGGTGTATTTGGTCTAAGGTATAGTTCAGGTGTAGTGCTTTCTCACTGATTTTTCTATCTGGATGACCTATTGTTGATAGGTAGGATATTGAAGTCCCCTTCTATTATTGTTATCTATTTTTTTTTCTTCAAATCTGTTAGAATTTGCTTAATATAACTCAGGTGTTCTGTAATTGGGTGCATATATATTGATGATTTTTGTATCTTCTTGATGAATTGATCTCCTTATCACTATGCAGTGACCATCTCTGTCTTTTAACCATTTCTTGAGGTGAATCTTTATCTAGCACATCACCATATTAACAGTGTTAAGGTACTCTAAAGCCTGACTCTCTACTTCTCTTTACCAGTGTATCCTATATTCCCATGTTTTCAAGCTACTAGTTAGTATCCTTTTGTTTCATGTTGAGGAACTCCTTTTAGCATTTCTTTTTTTTAATTAAAAAAAAATTTTTTTTAAGATTTTATTTATTTATTTGACAGAGAGACAGCGAGAGAGGGAACACAAGCAGGGGGAGTGGGAGAGGGAGAAGCAGGCTTCCCGCGGAGCAGGGAGCCCAATAAGGGGCTTGATCCAAGGATCCTGGGATCATGACCTGAGCTGAAGGCAGACACTTAACAACTACTAAGCCACCCTGGTGCCCCCCAACATTTATTTATTTAATGTGGGCTCATTAAAATATTTTATGATATATTATTTGAGTTGGGCAAGGAGCCCAACACAGGGTTTGAACTCACAACCCTGAGATCAAGACCTAAGCTGAGGTCAAGACTCAGACACTTAACCAACCGAGCCACGCAGGTGCCCACCCTTTTAGCATTTCTTGTGTAGTTCTGTGGCAAAAGTTTAGCAGCTTTTGTTCATTAGGGGAAGATTTTATTATTTCACCTTCATTTCTGACGGACAGCTTTGCTGGGTGAAGTATTTTGGTTGGCAGTTTCCTTCAGCACTTTGAATTTATCATTCCAATCTCTCTTTGCTGTAAGATATCTGGTGAGAAATCCACTCAGAGCCTTATGGGGGTTCCCATAAAAGTTGAGAGAACTTTTTTTCTCTTCCAGCTTTTAAAATTCTGCCTTTGGTTTTAGACTTTCATTATTATGTATCTTGGAGAACATTTTGGGGTGAAATTTTGTGGTGACCAACCTTTATGAATAAACTTGGATATCCAGTTCTCTTCCCATGTCTGAGAAATTCTGCCATTATTTCTTTAAGCTTTTCATTCCTTTCTCCCTCTCTTCTTCTGAGACTCCAGTAATATGTACATTGTTTCTTTTGTGTCCCATAACTCCTGTAGGCGTGTTCCTTTTCATTATTTTTCTAATTGCTCTTCTAATTGTTTAAATTCAACTGATCTGCCTTCTCACTCACTGCCTCTGTAACTATGCTGTTAAAACTATTGAATTCTTCAGTTCATTGTACCCTTCAGCTTCAAAATTTGGTTCTTTTCTCTTTGTTGAGCTTCTCATTTTGTTCTTGTATTGTTTTCCTCGTACTGTTGAATCATTTTTGTGTTCTCTTGTAGCTTTGAGCATCTGTATTACAATTATTTTGAATTCTTTGTTGGGCAATATTTGCATCTCTATTTCTTTGGGTCCAGTTAGTGGACTCTTCCTTTGGTAGAGACACTTCCCTCACCTCTTCCAGACTTCCAGACATTATGGACTGATTTTGGTTAGAGAAGCCTTTCACTTCAGATAGGGGTGCAGTGGATCATGTTGTGGCCCAGGTCTTGTGGTGCAGGGCAACAAATGCAGGAATGCCTGGTAGCAGTAGGTCCAGTTGGGGCAGGATGGCTCTTTGGCTCAAGCCACCAGGGTCCATGCTCTTGGTAACAGCATATTCCTTGGTCATCACTGCAGGAGTCTGCAGTGCCTGTAAGGGCTCCTGGGCTTCTCATGCATGCCTCTAGAACCAGTAAGTAGCTAGGGACTAGGGCAGGCAGCACTGGTGGCTGGGGCCAAGGGTGTGCATACACTTGGCTGTGAGGGGCCGGCTGTAGGTCCCTTTGCAGACAAAGTTATAGCAATGGGTGTCAGGGAAGGTAACAAGGACTAGGGCCAACTATGGGCTCCCTGGCAGTGGCAGAGGACCCGAGTGTCAGCATGCTGCCCCTGGGCAAGCATACTGCAGTGGAGGTCAGTGACAGGGGTCAGGCTGCAGAAAAGGTGGTGGAGGGCATGCAGGTCCTCGGTCAGGGGGACTAGCTCTAGCTGCAGGTGGGCCCGGTGCTGCCGGCCAGTAACACGAGGCAGGGCTGCCCCGTGGCTGTACCGGGGGCACGCACACCGGCGGAGCTAGTTACAGGGGGGTGTGGTGATGCCGGCCACAACAGAGGGGGGGCCTTAGTCGTCCTGTAACTGGGTCAGTTTCCTAATAGTGTTCAAAGTTTAAAAAAAGCTTAAAAAGGGGAGTTTGGGGCGGGGGGAGTATACAGTGACACCACTTAGTACAACTGTGATCTTGATTTTCTTCCCCAGCTGCCTTGGTCCAGAGCGATGATGGCAGATGAGGTCAGAAAGTGAAGTCTAGGACACGTTCTCTAAAGCTGGGTGAGCTGCGTGTCAGTTTGGGTCGTCTGGGAAGCAGACGCAGATGGAGTTGGGAGCGCAAAAGATGTCTTGCAGGAGGAAAGGGGCGTACCCCAGCTGTGTGCAGTCACTGGCGGGGAGGGGGTGAGAAGAGCTTGTCCTCAGCTCACACCCTGTGAGACAGGACAGCTGGGGACCGGGGCTCGCCTTTCACATGCTGAGCTCAGCACGGTCTGCGGCGTGATGGCACTAGCCCGCCGGCTCCGGGTCCCTCTCTGGACCCCCCCTCACTCTTTGTGGAGGATGGGGAGACACGCCGGTTTCCGCAGTTCTACGACCAGGTGGTGCTCTGGCCCCTGCCGAGCGACTGGCCAGGCAGAGAGCAGCCTGGAGGCTCCAGCTGGCGGAGGGCTCCAACTGAAAACTCCTCTCCATGGCTGGTGCCAGTCAGACACAGAATCAGCTTAAAAACAGGTTAAAGCCTAGAGGAAGGCACCCGAGGGAGTGAACCAGGAAATCGCAATGAATTGATTTTAAGTAGCTGCAGCTGGGATTAGGCTATTTTTAGCCATAGGACTCAACCAGCTTTCAAAACCTGCTAATAAGAGTCTCACTGTAGCCAGCGAGTAAAACCAGCACAAAAATTTAGCTTTTAACTTAACTGACAGCAAGAATCTGCTCAGTTAAGAGCTGGCTTAAAAGGCAAATCCAAGGAAGAGAACACTTCCCACTGCCAAGTTTAAGAGAAGTTTTCACACCTGTCACTTCTGAAAATCATTTAGTAAATCTGTCTGCTGCCGCTCAGTATTGTGTGTGCATTTTGGGTAGACAGAACTTGCGTTCATTAGATTCTGTTTAACAGGAACCCCCCCCAACCCCCGCAAGTATATCCTGCAAGCAGTCGTCAGTAGAGCCTGAAGCGGCTTACCCGATCCGATCCGATCCGATCCACACCGACTGCAGAACAGCCCGGCTGGCCGATGCCAGGCCCTGGAGGGCCTGCTGCTTCCTGCAGGGCCCCGGGCGGCCCAGGAGGGGAGTTCTCAGGAGCAGCTATGGGCGAGGCTGGCGAGACGCCGCCGCCGTTTCCTTGACTAAGCCTCAAAGTAAGTAAAGGGGATCTGCAGGTGGAAAAGGTCTTTGTGAGGGGAAAGGACAGGAGAGGCATCGTCGTGGGGGGCGGGGGGCAAGGGGGCGACTGGCGGCAAACATGACAGAGTCCGGAGTACACAGGAAAAGCCAGTCCGTCTTTACTGTAGTGAGTGCAGGATACAAATAGTTTACAACAACCTCTAGCATTTTCTTAACCATTTGATAAAAAGTTCACTATAATATTTATTGTATAATGAAGAAAAAACACATTCAGGGAAAAATTGAGATTAACTTATTTTTCTTAAAAGGTTCATCTCAAGGATGGCAACAAAGTCCAGCTTGTGCCGCCAAACGGTTTTACATGATCAAACCGTGTACAGCTTCTTGTGTGAACTGTTGACTACAAACATTTACCAAATACATAAATCTCTTTTTAAAAAAGCCATTTTAAATATAGCAAAGCAGTGTCTTCTTGCACAGCAAAGTGAAGAAAGTTTCTACAGAGAAATAAAAGTTTTACATTTGTAAAATCTTTTTCACATTCTAATCATCTAGCTTCTTATGATCCAATGCCAGGAGTTTTCTGGTTCCTTATTTACTATGTATTTCTTGTGCGCATGATGGTTAATACAGAAAATAGGTTAATGCTTTGTTAGTTGTCCTTACAGTTAGTTAAAGGAAATGGTAAAACATATATTGTTCTTTCAGAACAAACCCCTGATTTAGTCTCTAACACAATGGACATAATTAGGGCTCAAAAGATGGAGTTTCGATCGGGACCATCTGCAGACATACAATGGTGACTCTCACTCTCAATGTAGGACCGGTCAGCGCACTGAGGGAAGGACAGCTGTTGGAAACCGTACTCGAACCAGTGCGGTGTCCTCTAAGCTTTTTTTGTTTTTGTCTTTTAGTAATAAAATACTTCATCTGAAGGATAAAATTTTCTTGTGATGGTGTCATACAAAACACACGAGTCTAAAACGGTAAGAAAAGTCAGTTCTAAAGAAACACCATTCGTGTCTTCCCCACTCTGAGTTGGTTTCCACCAGGAGATGTGCATGTGCATGTGTATGTGTTTGTACATGGAGTCTGGGTGAGGGGTGTCTGTCAAGTCCATACGCTCCAGGTCACACTGGGCAGACAGGAAAAGGGTTAACAGTCAAATATTCACTTCCTGAAAACGGAATACATTGTTACTTGGTCAGTGTAATTGAAATACAAACTCCGAGCCTCGTGTAATAGTATTTTAGAAAACAGTAGTTGTACTGATTATAAACCTGCATAGAAAGAAAGACTATTGAGATACAGTCAGAAAAGCCATCTCATAAGGCACACAAGAAAATAGACAGTAAATGCGAATGTGGTAACTCCTATTCCAATGTACAGCAGAAGTTCATGAACGTGCATGAATAGTAACGAAAGAATCACTTAACACTTTCAAAGCTATAAATGGTTTACAAAGTGGTAAGGATTATCTTGGAAATTCAGTGTTGGGAGACTGTCTTGTTTCCATCAGGTGTGACCTTATGAAGAAACGTGCCTGTATGCAGTTCAGTAAAGTACATTTTAAAGAGACACTAATCCTTTCTGAGTAACAGCCCCAATGGCCATCCTGACGAGAGGAGACAGCACGTCACCCTCCCTTTTTTTGGCCTCTATCGAAATTTACTACCCAAACTGTTCCTAAAACCGAATTCCATTTTGTAGCTGTGAACACCACAGGTTTCCCCTGTACCTAATACCCATGTGTCAGTCAGGAAATCTGGCTGATGATTTGTCACAAATAGCATGTGAGGAAAATGTCAGAAGGAAGGCAATTTAGGGGGAAAAGCAAAATATAAGTAAAAAATAAATTGTAGGTAGCTGCTCAACATTAAGTTTAAAATACAAAATAGCAGCAATGTTTAAACCCTTACTTTGAGTTTCTCAGGAAAGGGAGTATTTAAAAATCTATGATGAAAGATATACAGGACTTTGAATTTTGTTTGTGGCACAAGCCCAGGAAACGGACGAACCTGCCATCATGGCTTCGCTGTCTTCCCGGAGGAGGAAGGCCTCGTTCAAAGGCTAAGCTGAGTGCGGCCTGGGTTTCATGAGGATGGCGAGCCGTGCCGGCTAGCGATGGGCCCAGGAGAGAGCTTCTCCCCCCACCAAAGTGCCATTTCCATGCACAGAGAGTTGTGAAGGGTAGTGTCTTGTGACCAGCTGCATCGTTCTATTTCAGAGGGGCCAGGAAAAAAAGATCCCTTCCCCCACAAATATTTTTCCTAATCATTTACCACTTATAAAACCTTTGTGCTCATCTACTATTTTGCCATGTTCTCTAATATTAAATTAGGCCAGCTTTTTCTACTATATTTTTTTTCCTCACAAAAGGCAAGTTTTAAGTAATGCCTTATAAAATCTGTTACAACACATTTTATATTTATGCAAGATGAACTTAACACCAGTTTTTTTTTGCACTTTGCTATTTATGTACACATATAAAATATATAATGATGCTCAACCCATACAGCACAAAGATTACAATGTAACATCACACATTCACCACCAGTGAGGGGAGAAACCCCTTTATACAATCCTCTGAAAAGACTGGGCTAATAATTAAAATCCAAAGTACAGTATATTTAACAAAATAGTAAATATTAAACAGTGAATACTCTACTTAATAAGGATCTCGCCTTTTCCCCCCAAATTGGCGGCAATCCACAAAAATATACTTTTTAATCTGGTGACCATACAATACATAGGTACTTACATCAAAGGTGATAATATATTTAAGATGCTATATACACAAAAGAGTTTGGCTCAACTTTTAATTTACATATAGAATAAGTGTTCATGGCTTTTTTTTTCCAAGGTTCTGCTTGCAAGATATTTTTGTGTTTTTTTTTTCCCCTCTTAAAATAAAACTAAAAAGTTAAAACAAGATAAAGCTATTCTCTTAAAAAAAAAGTTACAACATACAGCTTTGGCTTATATAAATAATTCATAGCAGAATGTGTTCAAAAGTAGTGAATATAATTTTATATATAGTCATCAATTCATAAGGGTGTTTTCTTTCATATAAAATATACATGAGCTAAAATCAGTTTAAGATATGAATGTAAAAAGAAACTTCTGACATAGTCCAATTATAACTTAATATATTAATTTATTTTGTTAATGCTCTATATTTCTAGGCTAGTATTTTCTGAATATCTCATGCGTGTTTTCTACTCTCTCTCTTTTTTATTAGCTAAAGATCACTTCTTTGACCCAATACATTTTTGCACGTGCAAAACAGTTATGTGTGGGGCTTTTTTGTTTTTTTTTTGTTTTTTTTTTAAATATCAACAGCCCTTCCCATGCACCCCTCTGCAACAGAGACCCATGCCAGGCTGGGTAATTAATATAAATGACATTTTATGTACAGTATTGCTTTCTTGGTTCCTGCTTTTCTACTGCTCTGTTCTACAAAGCATTTTTCTTAAGTAACTACAGTCACTGCACAGTTAAATAAAACAAGTAGGGGCCCTCTAGGTTTCTGCAAGCTAGTGTGGGAGAATTATATATGGGTACACGTTTCTCTGCAAAAACTGGTTATCTTATGAAACAAGTAGTCCAAAGAAGTGCCAGACTAGATTCTGCCTACAGGGCGCTTTGTTTGCCATGGGACGCACATCTGCAGATCTACGAGGCAGGTAAGTGCCCGATTCTGTATGCAACACACACCCACACACACACACACACACACACACACACACTCACGCCCACATACATATATATATAAAGGGATATATATGTATGTATGTACATATAAATATAGTTAACTCATGTCCTTATTTACCGATGTAGATATGTAGGGCAGTTCGCTGCAGGATCATGAAGTACTAACACCAGCCCGGGAGCCTTAGGTCACCCACGCGTCCATCCTCATTCGCTTGACAGAAGGGCTTTCTCTGTCCTCCGTGGTGGGGGGCCGGCCAAGCACGATTGGAGAATGGAAGTCGCCCCGTGGGTCCTCCCGGTCACTACCATCATAGGAGCTGCTCGAGCTGCTCAGACTGTCCACAGGGGAGCGCCCCATTTCCTGCCGGGGCTGTGGGGGCTGTGGGGGCTGGGGGGGCGGCGGCTGCGGCGGCTGCGGCTGGAAGCCTGATGGGGTCATTCGATCCCGGGGAGGTGAAATTGGTTCTGACTTAATGTTGATGTTCTGGTTGGTATTAATGGATAAATTCGAACCCTGAGATAACTGCCCTCCAGCACTGAAGGAAAGAAAAGATGTTAGATGGTGGGTGAGTGCGTCTGCATCACCGGAATGGTACTGCAGCCACCGCCCGACTGGAAGCCCGTCAGAATTCCCAAGGACTGCCTTCAATGCCCTCTCTGTGGAAGGAAAAAAATGCCCAGGACGGTGGAGAGCTCTGGGGACTAGGTCCCCTGGCCACGGCCTGGGTCCTTCTGCAGGGGAAGGAGCCGAAACTGTGCATCTGCGGCTGCGCGGGGAGCAGAAGGGGAGGGAAGGACACCGGCCCTGCACACGGCTTCCTCTCTGCTCTGGCCCTGGGACAGGCGCAGCTCATCTGTGCGCACAGCAACGCGAAGGCCGTCACCTGACCCTATTTTCCAGGGGAGGAAACCGCCTCGGAAGGCTAACTTGCTCAGAGCAGCAGTGTGTGTACAGGCTTCTCCTGGAGGCCAAACCGTTGCCGCTTGCCATGTGTTCATTTAGGACGAACAGACCCCCCCTGAGAGCCAACGGGCAAAGAAAATCAAAGAAGGAAACGCTCCTTGGCTTTCTCCGCAGACTGGAGGAGAGGAACAGCAGGGGTTGGGTATCGTGTGTGTGAATCCAGCTACTGGGGTTAATGTGGTTGATCCCAACCCGCTGCACACACTGAACCTCACCAAGAAGAGTTCAACAAAGAGAACATTCCTTATGGGCAGGGTGAGGGCACACCAGGGAGATGAGCTTACAGTGGTGCCCAGGGGGTATCCGAGAGTGCTAGCAGGAGGGAGAACCAGGATGACGGCGTAGGCAGAGGAGAGCCTCTCGGGGGGGGGGGGGCACAACAGCAGACCCAGTTGGCTTCCATGAGGGTTGGCTGTTTATTTTCCTATTCCCTTTGTGCACGGACACCACCAAAGCAAAAAAAAAAAGTGTGTGTGTGTGGGGGGGTGGGCCTGAATACCTTTAGCTGCCTTTCTTCCAACACTGGAATCAGATGTAGAGGTGGGGAAGGAGGGGTGGGACTGGGTGGCTTAACGGTTGGCTGGTAGGTAGAAGGGAGGTGCAGGTGGCAGACGTCTGTGCCTCAGTACCCTTTGGTTACTATTTTGAGTCTCTCTACCTCCCCAGAAGAGAAGCCTTGCTCCCCAGATCTCTTCAGGGAATGCCTAGTTTGATCAGTGTCCAAGTTATTATCTAGAATCACATAAAGGAAATATTTTCTCCAAACACTGTACCACATAAAAAAGAAATTCTAGGACAGTCACATGACAGTAAACAGCACAAAAGACTGTAACCGATAGAAAAATAAAGTGCACGGGCTGGGAGAAGAGAGTCGGAGACAATTTCTAGGTACTCACACCAGAGAGCTGAGGGCTGCTTGTCCTAAATGGTGCTGCTGCCAGGCTGACACCTGTCCCAGAGACAGCATGCCCGGGGGGTTGAAGCCCTGCAGGGCCGACAGGTCCGCACTAGTCAGCGAGTAATCTAGGACAAGGGAAGAAGTATTACTCGTGTGTGGGCGAGAAGGCCCACGCAAATCTGTTTTTCACAGAGTAGCTCCAAAAGTTCCCCGGTTGAAAGAAGCCAGGTACTTCCTAACATAAAACACACAGGTCTGAACCCACAATAGTTTTTCTTTGGGGAGGTTTACAGGTCCTAGCTGCATTTGCTTGTCTGGGATTATCTCAATAAAGTCAGTCTCAACTCTGTACTACATGTTTACAGTTTCCTAGCTCACAAAAGTTGAGATCCTTTTCCCACACTTGTACAGAGAAATAATGACAGGGCCATCGCTAAGGGACATGCGTATGCAGCTGTCATCTTACACATGCCCATCGCTCCCTGGCCCCCCGAAAAAGGAGCAACAGATGGGACAGAGCCTCGATCAGCAGCTCTTCTCTTCTTGAACTACTGGGGAGCAGGAAGGACACAGCACCCCTTCTCGTGCGGGGCCAAGCTCGGGGGCCTGGAGCAAATGTTAGCAATGACCGATGAATGGCGGTCGTTCACAGTACAGGGCTGTCAAAGATCCTGGACTGCGTGCAACACAACTTCAAGTTCATGAAAAAACTTACGTGTGACAAGAGTATAGTAGAGAATATAGCTCATTTTCTCTGAATGCCTCAGTCATAATCACTTTGGCCAAGACTCAGGACATTAGGTATCATTCACACATCGAGCTATTTCAGTTCTTCATTAACACTTCTCTTTTCCCATTTAGTTTTGAAGAGAAGTGGCAAAAACTCTTCTACTTTTTACTGCTTTCTCATGTCTCAAGAGAGGTATTTAAAGAAGCTGGTCTTCCTAGTGAATTAACACTAATAAAAAAGGGACTGAGTGGCAAGAACAAAGCTGGTGCTTAGGACTCTGCCAGCCTCTACACTCCGCTCATGCCATGATCTCCGACCGCCTCATCCACTCCCCGAGGCGGCGGCACAGGGGGTCCCGCACACTGGTGCCTTCCACAGTGCCCCCTGCAGCCCCCAACTCTCTCTCTACCTCTAGGTCCTCCCAACTACCTACGTGGTATGCCCATTTGGGTGTCTCTCCGAACACCTCAAATCTGACACCCGAACTGGCCCCCTCGTCCCCTCCAAACCTACTCCTTATCTTCATAAACAGCACCGATACGCACCTGGTTGCCCGTGCCAGAAACCTGTGAGTGTTCTTGAGACTTCTCTCCTACCCACCACCACCCACCAAGGCCGGTCTGTTCTCCGTGTTGTCCCTCAAACCTGCCCGTTTCGCCAGCTCTCCTGCCACTGCGCTCGTCTAAGCCATCAGGATCCACTACTTCAGGCACCATGCCGGCCTCCCGAGTGGTCTCCTGGCATGCAGTTTTGCCCCATGAACACTAGCCAAAGTGATCTTAGAGTAACAAATATGCTCCAGGCACCTCTCTGCCTCAAACTTTCTGGCTTCCCAGTGCTCCCAGTATCCAAAATCTTCAACATGGCCTATAAATTGTTACTTACCTCTGTAGTTTCAACTCTACACACCCTGCTACCTACCCCCATCCCTCCAGCCATGCTCCGGTCTGCTAGCCTTTGTACACAGTGCTCCCTCTCCCGGGAACATTCTTCCTGCTCTGCCCAGCTGAATCATGTGTGCCCCTTTAGTGAAGCTTCAGGTAGCTCTTCACACGACTATAATAAATGATTCTTAGAGCTATCAGTCCCGTGTCTTTCTCCACTGGCAACCATACACTCTTGTGTGCCTGGCCCAGTACCTGCCACATAGCAAGGACTCAACAAGTATGTGTTGAATGGATGTGCGAGCCCGTCTGTGAAGCTGGGCGTGACCTAACTGATGGGCATTAGGAAGTATCTGGGATTCCTCCACATAAAAACTGTTGTGCTTCCTGAAATGTCGCTCATATCTTCATCCCTTTCCTGACCATTTGGCCTGAGTTTGACTCTATGTCCAGAAAGGCAGATGACATTCTACAGAAAGATGAAAACGGACATGTGTTTAAAAAGGGCAACTAAATACAGTAAAAATAATAGTTTAAAATTAAGCCAAATACATGCTCCAAAAAAGAGCACAGAGACCAAGTCAGTTAAAAGAAGGAATGAGACTGAGGCCAAGGGACTGACAGTTTTGAGAGAATGGGACTCTGTTTTTATGTTATGGTAATTCCCTCTGGACTTTTAAAAAACAAGTTCTTGCTAATCCAATAGCATGTCCGAAAGCATGCACAGTGCAACGTCTGCATATACGGGAAAACCTGTCATGAAGTGCTCAGGAAACTGCTCTCGCTTCGAACCAGTTCAAGCCCCATCTTTGCCGCCGGTGCTCCTCTGAACCTTTCAGCTCGTACGTGTCCCTCCTTCCTCACGTTCTCAAGAGTGCAAGCTGCTAAGCTCAGCCACTCCGGACTTCACCCCCAGAGCTGCCACCTCAGGTACATCCTGTCTCCCTAGCTGGCGTGAATCTGGGACAGAAGCTCCGTCCCTGGCACACTGTCACTCATACAGCTAATGATCACTGCAAGGACACAGAATTTCTATGGATGTGTTATCTCTTGCTTTACATTTGCACTTAGATTTGGACATTTTTTCATATTGATTGTTAGAGAAGGTAGTGGACATTTTCCTAAGAGGCTTTCTTTTTTCAACAAAACCTTTTAAAATTCTGTTTTAAATGAACTACATGGAATTAAAGTGACAATCAAATGTATCAATGGCCTCCGGGAGCTTCAGACAGCAGTTTGAAAGCACCATGCTAAAGCATTTACTCTGAAGTCTAAAATTAGATGATTTTTATTATAGCTTACTTAGAAGAATCATGAAAGGATGAATGCCCTGCACTGCAGTCTGAATAACTGACAAGGTATCATTTAACTATTTCCTTCTTTCCTTCTTTCTTTGAAGCATCAGGTGTTTGGCTCAGCGGGTGAGAAAGCGAAACCACACGTGCCGGCCTTCGGCCTTCTCCTCAGAATGGCCAATCTGGAAGAAACCTGCTGCACGTTGGGCCTCTGCAGACAGCCTGCGTGGCTAAGAGCACCCCTCCGATCACTCAGCAGTGCTAACTTTACCTACCAAACCCCCGAAACAGGGTATTTTAAAATGAAATGTCTAAATAAACATAAATGAGTGAGACGCTCCTCTCACAAGGGAGGAGTGAATGGCTCTGAGGAGAAACAAGAAAGGTCCTGGTTTGGCTCCTAAGGCACAAAGGACAGAAACAAAACCAGGTAGTTACATAGAGGAAAACACAGCCTGCCTGGCGCAGCTACACATCTGCCACATTCTGGAGCCCTGAGTCCCAAGGGATTCCGTCTTTCCCCCAGTGGGTTAACACAGCATGAGAAAACTGTCTCCCTTCACCAGCCTGGAGGAGTGCGACACTGTGTGATGAGGCATGACAGAGAAAATGCCGAGCAGCAGTCTCTCATCCCCCCTGGCTTGACATACAGGCCGTAATTCTGGGAACAGCTACCTGTTTCTTTGTCAAGGGTAAGTAAAAGATGACACTGGAAAATCATTCTACAGCGTTTTTGTACATTTTTCAAAACTAACCTTTGTTTTTTAATAAACTCAAATGTGAACCGAAAGAACTGCAAATAATTTATTTTAATCAATATACTTTTAAAAAAATCACAGAAGCATACGCTGATCACAAAACAAAGACCTAAAATCCACACAAGGCAAGAGAGCAGGCTCACCAGTGTTGTAGGCGGTCGGCATGGCTGAGTACACGAGTCCCTGCGGAGGCAAGCTCGGGGTGGTCACAGACACGACTGGGGTAGCTAGAGGCTGAGTGGCTTGAGAACTGCTTATCCTCTGGGTATTCTGTGAGAGATAGAAAAAAGTGTCATTATTTGAGTATTTATATTCAGGCTTAGTATTTTAAAAATAACATTCAATTTAAAAGTGACATTTTTCACAGTTTTATGATGTGAATGTCATTACTTCTTAAAGTAGTGATGATGTGAAAAAAACCTTAAAGATACTAATGGGAACAACTAAATATTTAATTTCAAGGGACATAGTTGTACATTAATTATTCATTTTCCCTCGTCTTTCATAGTGTTTACTGATGGCAAGGATATATCCTTAAAACGGAAACTTGCATTATGGGCGAGAATGCTTTGATGTGTTACCATAAAGGAGGACTTGCTGGCTCTACAAACATCACACCAGGCTGCCCAAAATCAAACATCTAGGTTTTCGACACTTGAGGAGAGCCAAAAGTCATTTGTATACTGAGAGTGTTAAGTCCATGAGTCTAGGGATCAAAACTACTTGTATTTGCAGCACTCACATGTTAACGTGGTGTTAAGTCTTGGCATCCTGAAGTACCCCTTGCTTTCAGTTTTCCTGCCCTGCGATCCTGCAGTTGCTACACACACATACACACTCCGAGTGCCCCGCCCCCAAACATGCTCAGCCTCCCCCACGGTCACCACCACCCACCCGGTGACCTATTTCTTGGCAGCAGGTTCAGATATGCTTCCCTGCACAGGCTCCTGACTCTTCTGAAAGAGAGGCTTTGCGTAGAGAGCTTGTGACTAACGTACTTTTCGTAGGACTGTGAATGGAGCAATATTAAATGCTTGCTGACTGACTCCATCTACACAGTATCCTATCCACACTGGGAATGAATTTAAAAAAACCAACTACTGAATAATCAAGTCAGCTTGAGATGGCCACTCCCCTACGTGTCGGGGGATGACAGCACCTTCTCACTGGAGGGGTTTCAGGGAACGCTCCAAAACCAAGTTCAGACGAAGAGAACAGACTCCATGATCCATGGGGTCAGCACCCAAGAAGGCCAAAGCACAACTACTCCAGGGTTATATATATATATATATGTACGTACGTACGTATGTATGTATGTGTGGGTGTGTATTTAATGAAGAAGTTACAGCCTGATAATGACATTTGGGGGTCTAAGCCGTATCAGTGAAAGTACCATTCGGTGCCCTTGAGGTTATAAAGAGACAGAGTGTGATTCCCTCTCACCAGTTTTCCCTCTCACCACTTCCAAAGGGTAATCAGATGAGGGCCTTTGGCTAGATTTAGATACTTGAATGTTAATCATCTCAGTTTATTTCATTAGTTTGTATTTTCCACCCAGTCTTAAGTTTCTATTCTAATTAAGAAAGACCATTCAGGATGTGGTCATGCACCTGAGTTTTTGTCCCAAATTCACTACTTCCTAAGCAGGGGGATCATTTCACCTTTCTGAACCTGTTTGTACAGCAGGGAAGACAGTGATCTTTGTGCTGCTGGCCTTGCGCACTACTGTGAAGCTCTAGTGAGCCAAGAGTTGGGAAGTGCTTTGGTAACTCAAGTACTACACGAATATAAGATAGTATCCTTAAACGATCTTCCCAAGAAACCCTCTGGCCCAAGATTTCTACATAACTGGTGGGACAAATTTCTATATAACTTCGGAGCCACAGGTATGACCCCTGGAGCAACCATGGAGTACAGTTGCTTTAGAACAGCAAGGCTTCTTAAGGAATGTCAGCAGCCTGCCTCTCACCAGAAGAGTCTTTAGTGGAGGCTCCAAGGCACCTGTTTTTCCTCACTTCGGGTCAGAGCCATCCAGGATTTCAAACCAATCTGAACAACTTTCTAAATGCTAACAGACTGGGATTATATTTTGGTTCTGACCACAAAGCTCTGCCTTTAAAATTGATTGAGTTTTACAGTCTGAATCAGCTTAAGTTTTAAAGACTATGAACTGTTTACGGTTTTTGGTTATGTCTTTGTTTCTTAATTACAAATATTTTTTATTTCATTTTGTAGTTTTCAAAGATTTAGAGAAATTTATCTTTGAGACTCTCTAACTGGGGGGTGAACTTTAAGTGGGTGGAAGTCAGTGCATGGTAAGTGGGAATACACTTTCATCTCAGCATCGTTAATAATTTTAATGAATTTTTCAGGTAGAGATATACTTTGGACTTAATCTAAGATTTGATCACTGGAAACTCAAGAGTCAGATAGTAGGCAAAAGAACACAGCATGACCCAGTTTGGCCTGGCTCTATCCATGCCAGGACTTCATTTCCATGGCAATCTCCTGGCATGGCCTCATGTGTGTAATAGTGAATGCCAATATATCGGTTCCATGCGTCAAAGCTCCTAATCTCAATGGCACTGATCTTTCTGAGAAAGAGACTTGTGGGACCACTAGAGGGCAACATACTGCTACAGAATTGAAAGGAAGCATTTGTGACAACTTTCTAAGGGTAAACAGTCAAAGACAAATTATTTTATCTTGAATTATAAACTTCCATTTTCTAATTATTACTGTATCACTAAGTATCTCCCCAGAAGAAAGTCTAAATCTGCACATGATATAATCCAATACCACAACTGATGGCAGACTAGTACATTTTAGTTTACTAAATACAAAACCACATCTAAAACTGTGAGTGATCACAAAGTTAAAGAATGATCTCTTATTTTAAGGACAGAGCACAGACAACCTTATCTAAAAAGACACAAACTGTGCAGAACACACCAGCATGCATATATGTGTAATAGTAAAACATAAGTAAAACCAACAGATGCCTCTCCCCCCATGCTCTCATGCAATCTGAACCCTTGTCCGTGCTACAAACTAAACATTTTCAAGTTTTTTCCCTTTAAAGCCACTAATTAGCAACTGACTTTGAATTTATATGATCATTTCTGTGAATTTTGGGTTTTAGTTCCCAAAGAAGAGAGAGTTATTTTTAGTTAAATTTATTTTCTAGAAGAAAAGCCAATAGGAATCATTTGTTTTAAGAAAAAAGGTAATAGCTACTTTTAACAGAGTATGTCCTGATAGAAAAAAATAAATTTGTATATATTAAATTACAGATATTCCTTTTAGCAAACAGGGAACCCCCCCTTATGGTTCAGATCGTCTCATGCAGTATGAAATAATTCCAACTCTGAAAAAGGTGACCTCACCAAAAATGATGTAATCTTTTTGAAAGAAAGAGAAATAACACAAGACCATGTGTTACAATCTGAGGAACTTTGAGGGTGAAGTCATTTTCTAAAAATATGTTAATAATCTGGGGAACTATATAAGGTATTTTGTATCTTTTCTTAAAAAAAAATCTGTAACAAGTGTCTTGTGATCATTGACAGCTATTGTTTTTAAAGGCTCTGTTCCAATGTTCCCTCCAACAAACAAAATGGGTCAAGATATGTAATTATAAAATAGAAAAACAAGATGGACTCTGTAGTACCAGTAGATTGGTTCAGGAATTAAAGGTGCTCAGATAGTGTTTAAGAACAACAAGAAAAACTGTAACAAAGGGAACACTGGTTAGATAAAAACATTTAAGAGAATTAGTACTTTCTAGATCTTTTGCAACTCCCTTCAAGCAGAAACGCACACTCACCAACTCCAATTCCTCTTCCTCCGACTGCACTCAGCACATGAGAGGGATACGAGAGTTACTAAGACTGTTGATACTCAAAAATAAAATATTTCTTTAGAAAAACATGTTATTTGGACACTAGTAGTTGCCTGGAACCCTAAAGAAATGATTAAATATATGCAATGAATACAGATATAAATTATTTATTGTCTCTCCACTGGGAACGGATTTCAGAAGAAAGATTGTTGTAGTCAGGCCAGACTTTAAAGCTGTCCCTGCTCCCCGGCTTAGTCTGCTCCTGCGTCAGCCTCACCCGCACACGGCCAGGCAATTGCAACCATTTTTAAAAGGAGTTCCTCATCATGATCCCAATTTATACCTGAAACTTTGAGAACACTTCATCCTCCCATCCCTAGCCTACCTGGTCACACATGTCCATTATTAAATACCTTCTAGATGTGTGCTCTTTGGTTGGCAGGAATTATTTTGTTTTCTTATTTCCCACCGCAGCTAGCACAGTGTTATGAAACAACAAGAACTCAAACATTGGTTAATAACAGTTTTGAATAACAAAGACTGAGATGCAAATACAGCTTTCATATGTATAATTTCACTGCAGAAAAACAACATGTATGAAGCAAATGAGACTGGAAGAAAAATAAACTGATAAATCATGTCCAGAAAAGAAATGAAGGACACATATTTATTTGTTCCTTTTCTCTAAGCATTTAGAAAATACTAATAGGCTAGAAATAATCGACTAACTAGTGTTTTCTTATTTTACTTGAAGAAGTCAAGCTTTTCTGTCAATCTATGGAAGGTGTCTTTATAAACATCATTGATAGAGGAAACCCCAATCTGAAAGCCAGTTTACCTGCAAACAAACTGCAAAATAGGCAGGCTGGTTATCTAGTCTGAAAAACAATCACCTGGCCTACAATTGCTATTTCAAATGTGGGTAAAATGCTCTTCAGCTGTTGAGTTATACAGATCTTCACATTCCTCCAACTACAAGATACGCATGGAAATACTGCGGGTAAGTGCTGTATGGTTTTCGCTTGAACCTGCAGGGACAAGGGTGTAAAATAGTTTATATGGCAAATTCTGAGTATTCTGCAGCGATGCTTCGTGATCTCTGAAACAAAGACCAGGCAGAGAGAACCCTGACCAGCTGCTAAATGCCTAAATGCAGTTTTGTCCTTACATTCTGCAGTTTACTAATAATTCTTATCAACATATTTCTGAGCCTTAAATGAAACTTTCTTTAGTTTGTATTTCTGAAAGAGTGGCAGGTATTTCACATCCCATTCCTGAAAGGTGAGCCAAATAACCATCCTGAATGCCCAAATGTTTTTCTTTTTGGGGTTATTTGTTATACATGTATGTATCTTTAACTTTGTATCCTGCAATGATCATACCCTTAGAGAGCAGTTACAAAGAAAGCATACTATCACATACCATACCCCAGCATCACTCCCACCCAGGTCTACATCCCAAACATGAGACAACTGTCAAAACTAACAGAGTTTTGCAGTCCTGAGTTACTGCTGAAGCTATAGGACTTCACTTGGATTTCACCAATGTCCCTTTTCTGCTCCAGGACCGGATCCTGCGTCCCACATGCCCTTCCCTGTCATCTACCCTTAGTCTCCTCTGGTCTGTGACTGTTCCCTCCATCTTTCCTCATTTTTCATGACCTTAACAACTTTTGAAGAGTACTGGGTGGATATCTTGTTGAATGTCCCATAATTTGGGGCTTAGATTTTCTCAGATAGCATGGATTTTTGGAAGAGTACCAAAGAGGTGATGTGACCCTCTTAGCACATCGTATCAGAAGGTATGTCATTCCATTATCGGTGATGTTAAGCTCGATTGCCTGGTTAAAATCGTGTCTTCCAGGATTCCCCACTGCAAAATTACTACTTTCCCTTTGTAATCAATTATTTGGGGAGAGACACTTTGAGGCTACGCAAATACCGTTTCTCCTTAAACTTTCACTCACTCATTTTAGCATCCATTGACCCTGCATGGCCAGGATCTCTGTACTGTAATTACAATGTCGATTTGCTATTTCTCTCATTCTTTCTACATGTAATAATTAGAATTCTTCTCTAAAGGAGAGCTGTCCCTTCTCCATTTATGTATTCGATCATTTATTTTTATCAATAACAGACTTGGTATTTTTTATTCCTTGGGTACTAATCCAATACTATTGTTACTTACTTTGTTGCTTAAATTGTTCTAGTTTGGGCCACTGGAGCTCTTCTGAAAGGCTGGTTCCTGTAACCTTTTCACCGGCACTTCCTTATCCTCTGGCCCCTCCAACTCATCCTGTATTTTCATTGCCCCAGCTCTATAATCAATCATTTCTCCAAGGAGTCCTGATTCCTTTTATTGGAGAATGTTTTAGAAACTAAGATCTGAGTACTAGGTGTGCTTGGTTACCAGGTGTCATTGTCTGAAAGGGCCTGTCAGATGAGCTAGGAAATATATGATGTATACTATTTAGGTGTATACACATTTATATTTCTCTATCTATATATGTTAAGAAAGTTAAGTTCATACTGAAACCTCCAACAACCCAGAAACAAGGGTTCACTGTAGCCTTCCCCAACCCCCACCCACCTTGCTTATTTATAACTTTTTCTTCCACCAACAATGAGAAACCCAGCTTTCTTTACAACATAATCACTGTTTGAGTGTGTGTAACAAATGTACCATCTTAAGCGCACAATGCTTTCCTACAATTTTCTGGTTTTCTCTATCTAGAGTTAAAACAGTTTCCAAAGTTACTGAGCACTCCTTCCCCATCCCCTTCTGTATCACCCTGTCACAGACTTGCACTACACTTAACATTCACGTGTCACGGTCTATAGTCTGTCTTCAGTTCCCCTGGAATCCTGGTTGATTTTAACTGCACATCATAAAAACCACTCTCTGTACAGTTTTATGGGTTTTAACAAAAGCACAGACTCATATGTACATCCAACAACACAGGATCACAGAATAGTTCCATCGCCTCAAAAATTTACCTCAAATTCCCTTTGTAGTCAACTCCTCTCTCCGTCCCTGGCAACCGCTGATATGTTTTGCATTTTCCAGAACAAAATATAAATGGAATCACATGCTATGTAGTCTTTTGGATCCAGCTTCTTTCACTTAGCAAAATTCATTTAAGATTCATCTATACTGCTGTGAATAAATGGCTCATCCCTTTTTATTGCTGAGCAGTATTCCTTTGTCTGGATGTACCACAGTGGGTATATCCATCCATTCAACTGTTGGAAGGACATCTAGGTTGTTCTCAGTTTTTGGCAACTATGAAAAATACAGATTCCTGTAAGCACAGTTTTCAATTCATTTGGGTAAATTCTTTAGGAGAGGATTGTTGGGTTGTATGACAAGTATATATTTAACTTTGTAAGAAGCTGCTGATCTGTTTTCCAAAAGTGGTGTATGATTTTGCATTCCAAGCATGAATATATGAGAGTTCTTGTTGCTCTGCATCCTTGTCAGAACTTGACATTTTAGTATTTTGGGTTTTTGGTTTGTTTTTAAGTAGGCCTCAGCGGGGCTTGAACTGGTGATTCTGAGATCAAGACCTGAGCTGAGATCAAGAGCTGGACACTTAACCGACTGAGCCCCCCAGACACCTGTTTGAGTATAGCTGACACATGATGTTACATTATTTTCAGGTGTACAACACAGCAATTCAACAACTCTGTATGTTACACTGTGCTCACAAGTGTAGCTACCATCTGTTACCATATAATGCTATCACAGTTATCACTGATTTTTTTATTTTTTAAATCTCAGCCATTCTAACAGATGTATAGTTGTATCATCCTGGAGGCAAGTCCTTTATCAGATATGTGATTTGCAAACAGTTTCTCCTAATCTGTAGGTTGTCTTTTTATTCTCTGGATAGGATCTTTTACAGAGTAAAACTTTTTTGATAGTGAAACTATTTTGATAGCATCAATATATCAAAATTTTCTTTATGGATCATGTTTTTGGTGTATTGTTTTTTTCCAATGTTTTCTTCTAAAAGTTTCAGAGTTTTGTATTTTATGCTTGAGTCTATGCTACATTTTAATTTTTGTATAAGGTATGAGTTATATCTTAAGGTTTCATTTTTGCATATGGATGCTGAATTGTTCCAACAGAGTTAGTTGTACCATCTATCCTTTCTCCATTGAACTGCTTCACTGCCTTTGTCAAAAAACAACTAAATATATTTGTGTAGGTCTATTTTCTGGGCTCTCTGTTTTGTCCATTGATCTATGTGCCCACCTTTTTGCCAGTACCTCTTTCATTCCTGATATTGATAACCCATGCCTTCTCTTTTAATTTGGTCAGTTCGGCTAGAAGTTTAGCAATCAAAAAACTAGGTTTTGGTTTGATTGCTTTTCTCTAATGTTTTTTTGTTTCAAATTTCATTAATTTCTGCTCTTTTTCTTTTCTTCTGGTTGCTTTGGGTTAAGTATGCTCTTCTTTCTTGAGTTTAAGTAAAAGCTTACTGATTTGGTACCTTTCTCTTTTCTAATATAAACATCTAATGCCTTGAGTTTCACACACACACACACACACACACACACACACACACACACACACACACACCCCATATATATATTTTATAATTTCTCCTGAGATTTCCTCTTTGACTCGTGGGTTATTTAAAAGTGTGTTTTTTTCTCAATATATAAAGATTTTTCCTTTCTGTTTGGATTTTATTATGATCAGAGAATATAATCTGTATGATTTCGATTCTTTGAGATTTGTTGAAGTTTACTTTATGGCACAGGAAATGGTCTTAGTGAATGTTCCAAGGGCCCTTAAGAAAAATGTTATGTTCTGCTGTTGTGTTCTGTAAATGTCTCTTAGGTCAGGTTCGTTGAGTATTGCTCAGGTTGTCTAGATCATTACAGATTTTTCTGCCTACTTGTTCTGTCAATTACTGAGAGAAGAGTGTTTAAGTTTCCAACTACAGTTGTGGATTTTTCTATTTCACCTTTTAGTTTCATCAGTTTTTGGTTTATGAATTTTGAACGTGAGCTGTTAGGTGCGTATACAATAAAGATACTTATTTCTTGGAAAACAGACTGCGTGAAGTCCTTCCTTATCCTTGGTAATATTCCTTATTGTGAAATCCACATTGTCTGAAATAATATGGCTACACTAGCCTTGTGGTTAATGTTTGCTCAGTATGTTTTCTCTATCTGCTAATCTATGCCTTTAAATTTAAAGTAGGGTTTCTGTAGAGAGTGTATAGTATGATCTTCCTTTTCTTAAACAATCTGACATTTTGTCTTTTAACTGATATTTACGACCACATTCGGTGATTACCTGTATGGTTGGATTAAAATCTACAATCTTGCTATCTGTATTTATTTGTCCCATCTGTTCTTTTTTCTCCCATATCTTGGGCTATTCGAGCATTTTTTTTATAATTCCATTTTTATCTCCTCTATTGACTTTTTATACCTCTTTTAAAATTGTTTTCTATAGTTGCACTAGGTTTTGTAACATACATCTTTAGTTAGAGTTCACCTTCAAATAGATATCACATTAGATGCTTACAACAGTGTATTTACAATTGCTTCTCTGTCTTTTGTTGTCCTATATTTTTACATGTGTTATAAGCACAAAATTCATTCCCCCTATTTTTGCTTTAGAAAGTAGTGATCTTTTAGAGCAATTAAAAAGAGAAAGATGCTCGGATTCTGGTTTCTCCAATAAAAAGGAACCAAGGGTCCTTGGAGAAATGACTGATTCTAGGACTAGGGCAGGAAATACACAAGATGAGCCTAGAGCATTTCACAGTAACGGAAAAATTTAAAAGCAACCTCCTCCATTACCCCCCCCCCAAAAAAACCCCACAAGGATGAAGGTGTGTTTTCAGAGGCACAGGAACCAACTGAACAGTCCTCAATAGCTAAAGCTGGAATATGAGCAACAGAATAAAACAGTATTGGTAGAACTATATATAAACAGAATTTAGGAGTATTATTACCCAAAATATAATGTCATTAAGTCTGTATTAATATAAATCATTAAATAAATGAAACTAAACAGTTAAGTCACCTGTTCAGAAAAACTCCAAATAATTTATGTAGATATTCCGCCCTCAAGGAGGTACAGCCTAACTCCCCACTCCTTAAGTATGGACCTTGCATAGGGACTTCTTTCCAAAGAGGACAGTACGGAAAGGAAGAAGCATAGAAACCCATGCAACACTACATCAGCAAGATGGCCAAGGTTAACATCAATAGTAATGATTCATAATAATACTATGTACCCTTTGTATGGGAGATAAAAATGGCACTTTAGTTCTGTGGCCTTCCTCCCCGAAACCCAGAACCCCAGTCTAATCATGAGAAAAACACGAGGAAAAATCCCAATGGAGGAACATTCTACAGAATACCTTACCAGTACTTCTCAAAACTGTTAAGGTCATTAAAACAAGGAAAGTCTTAGCGACTATCACAGCCAAGAGGAGTCTGAGGAGACATGGCCACTAAATGTAATGTGGTGTCCTGGATGGGGTCCCGGAATGCAACAAGACATGCGGTTAAAAACTAAGGAAAAATGAATAAAGTATGGAACTTTGGTGAATAATAATGTATCAATACTGACCCATTAGTTCTAACTAATGTACTATACTAATGCAAGATGTTAATAGGAGAAACTCATGTGAAGCATTAGGAGAACTTTCTGTACTATCTTTGTAATCTAAAATACAAGGTTTATAAAATGTAGGGGAAAATGAATTGTGTTTTATTTTATCTTCATTTATTTCATTTCCATTGTTCTATATTTCTTTGTGTAGATCCAAGTTTTTGCTGGTATCATAGTCCCTCTTCCTTTGGTGTTTCTTTAGAACAGATCTCCCAGCAATAAATTCTCCAGATTTTTTTGTTTGAGAAAATTTCTTTCATTTTTTTTTTCAAGATTTTATTTATTTATTTGACACAGAGAGAGAGATAGAGCACAAGCAGGGGGAGCAGGCAGGCAGAGGCAGAGGGAGAAGCAGGCTCTCTGCTGAGCAAGGAGTGAGATGCGGGCCTCAAACCCAGGACCCTGGGCTCATGACCTGAGCCGAAGGCAGATGCTTAATCAACTGAGCCACACAGGCACCCCTTCTCTTTCGACATTTTTGCTGGATACAGAATTCTACGTTGAGGGTTTTTTGTTTTGAATTCCAGCACTTCAGGTTACTCCACTGTTTTGTAGCTTGCAGAGTTTCTGAAGGGAAGTATGGTATAAATTCTTATCTTTGTTCTTCTCTTTTCTCTGGCTGCCTTTAAGATTTTTTCCTTGTTGTCCTTTGCTTTTAGCAATCTGAATGTGTGTGTATTTGTCCTACTTGGTGTTATTATTTTTTCAAATATTTCTTCTGCTCTGTTGTCTCTCTCCTCTTTTTGGAATTCCAATGACAAAAATGTTAAACCACCCGATAAAAGTCCACAGCTCTTGGAGGCTTTGTTTTGCTTTTTGTTTTATTTTCACTCTTCTTTCTCTTTGTATTGTAGTTTGGGTAACTCTACCGACCTACAGACCAAGAGGTCTTTCCTCTTGCTAGTCTTTAGTGCACAGTTTGAGTTAATTTAATTAGGAATTGGGCTGGGTTTGAGCTTCACCGGTGCAATGATCACCCTCAGTGCATCCAGCATGGGCCTCACATCCCTCTGGGAGGAAGTGAGCGTTGGTTTGCCAGGGGTTGTGTGTGTGTTTTCCCCAGAGGCTGCTCCACTCTCAGTCAAAGCCTTTTCCTCTTCTCAGGTGCCCTGTCATGCTCCCGGCATTGTTCCTGCTCCTCCGCCACAGCTTCAGATGGCTTTCCTTTTCCATTTCTCGAGATACAATGGGAGGTCACCAATGCCCAAAGGGTGACACTTTTTGTTCATCTCCTCACAGATTAAGACTTCTGGTCCACAGGACAGAAAGGGGAGAAGGGTCTAGGCAGCACATTTTGTCCCTATCACAGGGGCTGCTCTTGCCCCTTCCCAGCCACACACCACAGTGGAGGCTTTTTCAGGACGTTCCCAATCTCTTCTGTGAGCACCCACTGGGGTTCATGGAGAAAAAGCCTCCAAAAGAACTCGGACTTCCCCTATGTCCCAACACTAGGGCTTTACATGGGCCTGCCAGGAACACCTGGCCTCCAGCAACTCACCAAGCATCTGAGCTGAACTCTCATTACCTGTGTCCTACCTACACAAACCAGGGCTCCAATGTCCTCTCCCTGCAATATCTGTCTCTCCCTAGAGTCCGGGCCACTTGGGTGCCATGAAATCTCAGCACTACAATCTACTCCCAACTCGTTTTCCTTATAAGGCTGGGAGCAACAGTTTCCAGCTTTCTATCTCCAAATGAAAAATTACTTGTTTGTTTCTTAAGAGGTTTTGGTCCTGGCTCTCTTTTATATTACCTTGGACAAGTACTAACTTCTCCTTCAGTTTCTTCATCTCTACCCAGTCAAGATTATAGCATAACTGACAATCAAATGCGATGATGCATATGAAGATGTTTGGGAACCTATAAAGCATTATACATATGTAGATTATCTAAAGCCTAATGGCATCAACTTTCATTTAGCAAAAAATCAAATAATGCTGCATTACAGAGAGAACACCTGGCATATCACACTGCATGTTAGTCAAGCCATGCTATACTAGGAATGGTTTAAAAATTGCATACATATTGATTTTTTTTCAATAAGAAGCTAAGGGAGATAAACACACTCTCCTTTTCTTCATAAACACAGGATTCAAAAACATATGACGTTGGAACTATGAAGACATTGCCAAGGGCTGGGGGGGGGGAGACCTGTATTCTTTATAGAATTAAAAGGGAAGGTTATTTGAGAAGGAATAAACAAAGATTATTTGGAGGATAACTCATTCAAGTTTTGATGCATTATTCCCTATTCTACAGTGGTTCTCTCTAGTATGTAGAAACACTAACAACTAATATAGTGTTTCTCCTGCAGAAAAGCATGTGTAATCGATTACTGAAAGTATGCAAAGTCAAGATAGAAGAAATATTTAGGTCAGGTTTAATTTATGAATTTGGTGATGGAATCTCTGAGCTAAGAGACCAGTCCGGTAAAATTAAAATTAAGCCTAACAACCTCTCCTCATTTAGCTTTAATTTTAAATAACCACTAAGCATATTTACATCCTGTTTTTCTATAATCTGATTTCTGTGTATTTAAAATAGACCGATCTCTTCAAATGCCAACTTCAAATAGAAATATTCCTTAAGAAAGGGTCTAAATTCTATGGAAGTACAGAAAATTCTGAAGAAAAATATAGACTGGCTGTATTTTTAAAGAATGAGGCTGAAGAAAAATTTAACGTACCAGTGGAGGCATCATGCCCTTGCTTGAAGGAGGGATGACAACTCGAAGATCTGGTTTTCGACTATTCATTCCAAGATTGCCACCACCTGGAGGAGGGGGAGACTTTGTAGGCATAACTTTGCCTAAACTATTTGCACCAGTAGTTCCAATCAAATTTGGAGAAGCTCTTGAGTTTACGAATCCGTTCCCTGGAAAAAGGAAATATCATTCATTAATGTGAGAAGAGTCGTTAAAACACTTTGGTAGAAATATGAAACAAGTGTTTCCTAGTCCTAGTTTCAAATAAATTTTGTAACAAAACTCATTAGTAGTTGACCACGTATCTGAATATTTTAAAAATAAGCAAAAATGTCAACCTAAGTCTGAAATACACATAAAACTTAGGGCTTATGCCATCTGTTTCCAGTCTTACTGCGTGGACCTGCTGAGAGATACTCAAAACACAAGATTCGCGTCTAACAGGGCATTTCCTACTGGGGACTGAGATAATGGAGATGTTCGAAGAAGCCGCCTGAGACCGGCCTAGTCACTCATTTGGGCAGTAGAGGGCAGCAGAGGCACCCCTACTAGTCCGAACCTGAACCCGCTACCGCGACCAGGCCCACTTCGCTACTGCTTCTTTAGCACTCTAATGCTTCATCTTCACCAGGTACTTCCTCCTTACTGCTCCACCTCTAGCCACGCTGTTTCTTTGGCTGCCAGTAAGGTCTTCATTCAATATTTGTGGTTTGTCTGACTTTAATCATCTTATTCCTGGTCTTCCACTTTCTCTAAGAGAGCAGTCTCTCTCTCTTAGAGGAAGTAAGGACGTGTGTACATGGTGGTGATGTTCTATATATGCAGTACTTCTGGGCATCAGTTGAGCTAGGAGATCAAGGTAAGAGATCATCCCTATTTTCATGGAGGCTGCAGTCCTTCTAGTCCTCCGCAGGGGTAGCAGCCATGTGGTCTGGGTGAGCCAACTCCACTTCAATCCCTGCTTGGGGACAGTCCGAGCCACTGTGTGCAGGCATTCTCCCTCACCACTGTGATGGGATCTGGGAACGTCCAGTCGGATCCTAACTAAAGCAGCTGCTACATGATGGTGAGGGAGACTCCTGCATTCCTCCAAATATGACAGAGGAAGAAGCATTTGATTCTCGAGCCATTTTGAGATTCAGAAGAAAGCCAGAATGAGGAAAAAGCTGACAGGGAAAGGAGAACTGCACCCCGGGAAGACTGCATGCCAAGAAGTGAAATGATGCGTCTCAAAGAACTGCAATGAGTTAATGACAAAAAAACAATTATGTAATGTATGGTGATTAACATAATAAAAAAAAGAGCATTTATATTGGGTTATCAGAACATTTTAAATCTTTGAAAGTTTCTTGAATGGAACAGAAATATTAATTTAAAACCATTTACAATCCATATAGTGTTTGGTGGTTTATAAAACATTTTCAGGGGGCGCCTGGGTGGCTCAGTCAGTGAAGCGTCTGCCTTCAGCTCAGGTCATGATACCAGGGTTCTGGGATTGAGCCCCGCACTGGGCTTCCCTGCTCAGCAGGGAGGTCTGCTTCTCCCTCTCTCTCTGCTGCTCCCCCTGCCTGTGTGCACGCTCTAATAAATAAATAAAATCTTTTAAAAAAAATAAAACATTTTCAGGTACTGAAAATAATACTATTCAGTATTATAATGAATAGAAGCAACTGATCAATAGGAGAATTCTAAAATTTAAAAAAATGTAACTAGAGAGGGATTAAGTACTTGAAGATAATCAGCTGAAGAAAATGGATGCTTCAATATATCTGCTTATAGAGTTTGAAAAACATGTTATTTGGCAGTATTATTTATATGAATAACTAAAAATTGACGTTTGACAATGTGATCTAATCAACGTTACTGGATCCTAACCAGTATCATTTTCAAAGGACAAAGAAAACTGAGTGGTGAGGCGTGGCTCTGGGGAACTGGCCCGCATCTCTCCAGCCGTTGTCATTCAAACTGTCAGGATTCCAGATGACCGATTTTCCTCTCTGCCACCACCCCCCTCAGTCTCACCCAACTCCTCCTGCTTTCTTCAAAACTTTTACCAAGTGACCTACCGGTTTTAATTCATTTACGTGACTTAATTTTTGCTGTGAGGACTGGTATTTCAGTTAACCTGATGAGGCTATTTCCTGCATTCTACTTCCATTATCTTGAAACAGTATGTATTAAATCTGGATGAATCTCCTTTCCACACCCCAGAGAGCAATTCCTGCATTCTATTAAGCTTCAGAAAGCAGTGCTGTTAAACAATCTCTTCACCAGGCCAACCCCTGTGGAGCAGAGCTCATCCATGCATTGGGCAGAGGTAACTGCTAAGGCAAGTCATCTGAATACAAAATGCTTATCAAGTAATTTTTCAAAAATAGGCTTAATAGAAACTAAAAGAATGTTGGATTAACATTAATAAGTACAGATTAACATTTCTCTTAATAGGCACAAATGTTTATAATCTCTTTGATAGCATTTAGAAGATTCTTATTTACTTGACTTGTACTCAAATCTGAAGGATAAAGCAATATTTCTTCTCAAATACATTACAAGGTGATGTGAAGCTAATGTAGAAGAATGCATTATCAAGAAGCTCTAATACTCTTTACCCATGTGTAGTCTAGGATGCTTTTCAGCTACATATAATACCACAGTAACCCAGAGTGAAGGGACTCTAAAAGCATGGTATTTCTTAGTGTGAAGTTGGGAGTCTGCAGCAGATAATTATCACAGGATGATGTCAGTGTCTGGTGACTTGTCAGGCTGAAACAGGATAACCTTATATGCATTATTTGTTATATTGTGGAGTGTAGTGATATACTATCGAATATACGTCTTAATTCCCATTTTTTATGACAAAAATGTACATATTTCAGTATATAACTCATCTTTCCACGCCCTACAAATTTAAGAATTAAAGTACCAACTCTAAATGAATTAACCCAATGTGATTATTATCAAAATGTGTTCTCAGGTTTTAAGGTAAATTATGCCCTGACACACACATGATAAAAATGCTCTTGAGCAAACTGCATACCGATGCCTCCAGAAATTTAAGAAAGCTAATCTCACTTATGGTCCCTACAGCTCTAAGGCAGATCATTCAATTGTATCAGTCTGGCTCATATTTCAGAATATCCTGTCAGCTGGAATAATGTATTCAAGTGTCTAGAAAGCACTCCATGTTCTTAATACCACTCTTTTAGGGCTAAATTATAGACAATGATGTCATTAATGTTTTACTACTATGAATCTAATTCAGAAGTTGAACTAACATGCACAGGATTTTGAAAATCTCAAAGAATTCTGAAAAATTTGTCCAAAGCAAGGCTCAAGAATTGATTTTATCATATTTGACCAATTTTCATAAAATCTGACAAACTTTCAGCTGATGATTCAATAAATAAAAAAACATTTTAAAAATCTATACAATTATCTTTTGTATAAAGAACTGAATGAGGTTTCTAAAATTAAAAAATACCATGGTTTTTAAAATCATGGTTGACACATTTACTTGATTCAGTGGAAATTCCTATATGACAGACAACATGGGTTCTGTCCATTAGAAGTTTATAATCCACAACAGACAATGCTCATGAAATCCTGTGTGTCTCTTCCTGAGTGCTGTATTCATCCTCTCAATCTCTCCCATGTGGGCAGCCCCAAAGAGGCTTCTCCTCCTTCAGAGACTTCAGGCATCCCCCTGGCTTTAACCATTGCCTCAGTATGACTCTTAAATCTGTTTCTGCTCTTTATATCTAATTTCTAGTCCACATGCAACCATATCCCACAGATATGCTGCTGTCATCTCAAACGCCACCAGTTATAAACCCCTGTACTACCGCCGCCCGCTGTCACTCCCATCCAACTTTCACAGAGCTCCAGCTTTGTTACTCTTTATAATATTTCCCTTTTCATCCATCTCTCTTTAGCTGCCACTGCCCCTGCCACACTGCAAGCCCTTACTATTACCTTCGCTCACCCCTAAACAATTCCAAGAGCTTCTTGAGCCTTTCTTAGTCCAGTGTATTTTTTTCTTTCTCAACATGTTTTAAAAAAGTGAAATTGCTGGATATCACAGACTTTATTTTATGCTTGATGTTTAAACACAGGCCCGAAGTTAAAAGGAGTTCCTGAAGTCATCTGAACTACAGTATTATCTAAGTATTAAATGTCAACTTTCAGTAGAGAAATATACTTAGTATGCCAAATCAGATGGCCACTACGGAAGATGTACACAATTTCAGCATGTTCAAAACTGGCAAGTTTTGCTTGGACAATGACAGACTGCAAACAAAAAATGATGTTTCAAGGAAAAACAAATGAATGCTCTAACTTACTATAATAAAAATGTTATGACTGTGGAGGTACCAACCATATCAATATAGAAAGTTTAAAAACTAGAAGGAGAGAGAGAAAACTCCTACTTCCACCATCCCAACATAATTGTGATAATCAGTTTAGATTTCCCCTCCTTTTCGTTTTCCACATGCATATTTTTTGCATAGTTTTAAATCACAACTAAAAAGGAATGCAGTTGAAAATTTCATTTGCATAATTTTCATACTGTTGAATATGCTGGTTTCTTCCTATTATTCACTACTATAAATAAAATTGCAGTTAATCTTTGAATATTCTAGTTTATTTCTTTAGGAGAGAATCCCAGGAATGGGATTTGTAGGCTCAGAGGCATAAACATTTTTATGACTACTGAAACATCTTGCCAAAATCTTTTCAGAAAGATCATTACTAATTTACAATGCCATAAGCACACAGAAGACCATCAGTTTCCTCACACCTTCATTGGCTCTCCATGCCACAACAGAAGTGGTAATAGTTGGCAATTAGTGAGTTGTGGTTTTCTTTGCCATTTTTATTTAAATCTCCTGATATTCAATTTTTTAAAATACTAGTTGGGTTTCCTTTTTGAATTGTACATTTAGGTACATTAAAAACCCACCTACTTATTAAATATTCCCCTATCTGTGGCTTGTATTTTATCTTACTTTTTCTCTGAAGAATGAGAAAATCTTCTATCTCACATAAGACGACTGGAGAAAAGAGGTTGCAAGCTCAGTGGCTTTAGCAGCTCAGTGTGCAGGACCTGGAGCTTTCCAGCTTTCAGCTCTGCCATCCTAGGCTTTTGCTGGCCTGTCCCTCTGATACCGTT